AAAAAAAATGTAGAAATACATTTGGTTCTTTTAATGTAGTTGTAGAGGAATTTCATAAGTATCCAGTAATAGTTTCATTGAAAGTTAAACTTTATATTTTATCATCATATGGATTTTTCATTCCTGTTCATTGTGTAAATAAAGTATAAAATCTGCAGTAGAGAAGATCTTCAAATGTACAGTGGTTCCATCCGTATTTTCACATAATTTGATTGTGGAGTCTGGAGCTTATAACCCTATTTAACTTAAACACTAAAAATAAGGTATTTAAAAACATTTACTTCAATTTAACATGTGTCCTCAATTTGTATATGTATGTGAATGCTCTTTCTTCTCTCTGTCTGTTTATGTGTATGTTTATATGTGCTTACACACATATATGCAGTTATCATATACTTACATGATTTACAGCTTTGAAAAAATAGTCATACAGAAGATACAACACACTCTTAATCTTGCCATATGAATGTGTTTATACTCATAAAAATACACTAGGAAATGATAGGATAGTGAATCATATAACTTACCCTGATTATCAAACTGTGTAATTTTAGCCTTATATTAATAAATGGAAAAAATCCACAAATAAATGGTTTCTAATATGTCTGTTTTTCAACATTTTTATTTATTATATAGTTATCAATGTATTTGCTTATGGTGTTTCTTGAAATGGGCAACTAATACTACTAGTTGAATATGAGCTGATCAACAATCATTCTTTAGTCTGAACATCACTGACAGTCGTATATATATGACTAATATATATATATATATAAATAGAGATTCTTTTTCTTTTTCTTTCTTTTTTCTTTTTTTTTCTGCTGACTCTGAGGCTTGAATACAGGGTTAGGATCTGAGTCATGTTCCTGAGCTTCTTCAAGGCTAGTACTCTACCACTTTAGTTACAGCACCACTTCTGGCCTTTTCTGAGTATTTTATTAGAGGTAATAAGTTTCACTGACTTACTGGCCTAGGCTAGCTTTGAACCAGGCTCCTCAAATCTCAGCCTTCTGAGTAGCTAAGATGTCAGGCATGAGCCACTAGAGCCTGGTTCCATTTCTTAATTTATACAAGAATATGGTATTTTATAGCACTATGTTGGAAAGTTTATTGAGCAATTGGAATGAGACTTGATTTAATTCATGATGATTTTATGTTAGGTCAATATTATTCAACTCTAATTTTTTGAACTTATCAATTAATGATTACATAGATGTCATTATGACTTGCAAAAATCACTGAATTTGCTGTAGTTTATTTTATCTTTTCTGAATGGCTGTGTGACCATCTAATTTCTTATTTGTTTATTTACTATAGTTTTTAACTGAGAGTTTTGTACTTGTTAGGTAGGACCTCCATCATTTCAAGTTCACATACAACTTACTTATTTTTTTAAAGATAATCTTCCCTAGGTGAATGCATCTGTGTTCTTTGGTGAGGTCAAGGTAATTTATAACCCTTGCTCTTCCACTTAGGTTCATCGTGGATGGTGTTCTCTGTTATTCTATTTTAATATATTGAACTCTTACAAATGATCAAATTAATTAGATTCTAAGCTTTGAAGTTCTCATTACATTATTTTTCAGAGTATCATATTGCATACTGCATACTGCATGTAAATTGCCTCTTTTCTTTCCTGGTTTAGGGTTCTAATTACTTGTTTGTTGCTTAATGCCCATTTACCTAAACAGGCGTTACTCTGTTTAATTTACTATAAACCACTAAAAATAATCAAACTTTGTATATAGTTTCTATCAATTTTCCATATAAAACCTTACATTCCAGTGTTTCACAGTGAACACTGTACTTTCATTCAATCATCCCACAAGTTTCTGAAGTAGGCAAGGCTGTCATTGACTCCATTTAAACCATGAATGCATACAAATTCAGAGAATTAGAATGGAATGCAAGACTCAGCAGAACGTTCTTGAATTGAGCTTCTAGATTTTTCTTTAGGATTCTTACTGATACTCAAAAGCGAAAGCTTTTGTGTGTGTGTTGACAATGCAATTACATCTAAACAACAGTAGTAAAACAATTATAGAAATAATTTAGTGGAATGCTCTCTCCTTAGCTACCAGTATCCTTCCATTATGTTATAATAAATGTAACATATTTCTATCCTCACTCAGGCATTTAGCAAGTGAGTTTATACACTAGCATCAGCAGCGTGATATTGAACTCACTCATTTCTGATTACATTAGATATACTTCCCAAATATAATTCCCAATCAAGCAAGCACCTGCCATTTTCTTGTTAAATTCTGAATAACTATATAATAACAGAGTCATCTTGTCTTACATAGTGCTTTCTCTTAGTACAAACCTTTTTCCCAGGATTATACCTTAAAATTCATGCTCAAACACTGCTACCCATCTGCCTATATTTTTAAAAGTTTATACCATTTAAAAAATTAAATCAATTGAAATCAAAATTCAAATGTTGTTAATCTTATCTCACATGATAGTGTTAGCTTTTTTGCCAAACATCAGTGTACCATCATATATGTTTTTTATTTTAAAATAATTGTCTTTATATGCAAGATCAAATAAACAAGTAAATTAACAGAAAAATGAACTGAGCCTTCTATTAACTATCACAAATAATTTGCCTGCCTACAGCTACCTTTGATCCAAAAGAGTAAAAAAGGAGTTAAGGATAGTCATATCAATTGTAAATAAACCTTTGAATGGTGATTTAAGGAAATAGAGTAATTAAAACAGTTTGTAAGTCAATAGAAGTCAAATTAGTTAAAAGTAAAAATTGAAGTTTAATAGTACAGAGAATGCTTAGAGACTGTAAGTTGTTCAAAACAAATTGGCTATACATTAATCATGTAGCTTATTTTAAGCTCCTTTAGATTTTGTATTTGAATATAAATGCTAATAACATTCTATCACAAGAAAATACATTTCTTTGACATTTTACACACCTATGCCCTTTAGGTAAGAGTAATTGTCTGTGTCTGCTTATCATCCAAGTAGTAGATATAATTGTGAACAAAGTTAAAATAATTTAAATAGTCAGAGAGGACAGGATGAAAAAGCAGCTAAACACATTGACTTCTTGTACATATTTGTCATCTAAATTCAACTGCACTCTCACAATGTTGTATGGTGGAGAAAAAGTTTTGCCAGTCCCATTTATCGATTATTTAAAGAGTTAGCTACAAATTGCTTCCATGTGTCTAATTTTTGCTATTGTATCCTTCCTGGTTTTGTCTATGGATATCCTAGACTATTGCCTTAAAAGACACAATGATCTGTTATTCCAAGATGGTGATTTTAGCTTCATTCATGATAAGGCTCTATTTTTGTATAGTAAGCTAAGTGAAAATTATTCAGAAATTGCTTGTAAGGAATTAAAAATTTCCCAACAAACTTAATTTGCACACTGAGATTTGTTAACCGTTTTTGTTTCCTAATTTGAATAAATGACGATGACACGAATTTCCTGACTTCTTGGAATAGTATTTGAGCTTAAAATTGTGATGCCAGTGCTTCCCATAATGCTCTGGGTTCTCTCATTTCTTGCATGTAGTTCCAAGGATTTCAAATATACAATCACTTCATCACACATCTATAACAGTAGGACATAGCAGAAATTCTATTCTTCTCAATATTTGATAGTCTATTCACTCATAGTGTATCTATAGTCACAATATCTCTTGTAATAAAATATTAATGAGTGTTACTAAATGTTAAAAACTGGATATCTAGAAAAGAAAGAATAGAACTTGCTGGTTACATTGTAGATTATTCCTACCATAGTTGAAAATCTACCAAAATATTGAATCTTGTATGATGATTTTGGCTTGTTTTGGTACAATAGTTAATTTACATCACTAAACAATAGAGATTTGTTTAAATGCTTTTTACCTGTACTGGAATTTAATCTAGAACCTTGCCCTCAACTGGCTTATTTGCTTAGCTGATGCTCTTAACATTTGAGCCACAACTCTGCCCCATGTTAATGACTTGTGGAGAATATTTTAACCAATTTTAAGATTGAATTTCTCAATCACCTGGTCCAATCTCTTCATTTAAAAAAATCTTATCAGTTGGGGGCTGGGAAGGTGGCTCAGTGGTAGAGCGCTTGCCTTGCATGCATGAGGCCCTGGGTTCGATTCCTCAGCACCACATAAGCAAAAAGAAAAAAAAGCCGGAAGTGGCGCTGTGGCTTAAGTGGTAGAGCACTAGCCATGAGCTGAAGAGCTGAGGGACAGTGCCCAGGCCAGAGTTCAGTTCCCACGACTGGACCCCCCCAAAAAAATCTTATCAAGTTTTGTGTTTCATAATCAAATATTGCATTAGACTTTAGAAGGAAAAATAAATGGAAAATAATCATGACCCACAAAAACCAACATTATAGTACATCCTATATATTCAATTCTGTATTGATATAATCTTTTCTCTATAAATATAAATTGAACATATGAAAGAATTTTAGGTCACTAGATAAATTTAGGTCTGTGTTTTCCAAGCCCATTACTGTCAAATATGGAAAAAGAATATATGTGTGTACTTATGTATATATATATATATACATGTATGTATTAAAACGTGAAAAAGCATAATGTATGACCTTATGCTTGTTTTCTAAAACATAACCAAACTTTCATTTAGAGATATGTGGCATACCACAACCAGCCATTTTGACATCATAATCTATATGTGCTAAACTATTATATCTTCCTCCAGAAATCTAGGAGATTATCACATGCCTGTTTTCTCAACACCTTGTTGATATAGTATTTATATAATTTCCCCATCACATATTGATTTTATTGAAGTGGGTAAAGATATTATGGTTATTTTATTGGAGATGCTTCATGTGGGAGTCAAAGTTATAAACAAAATCTTTAACTCTGTTATAAAATTGTTAGACATATGTATGATAATATAGCAAGAAGCATATCTATCTTGTCATAAAATAGCTAAAAAGTTCCATTCAGATTAAAGGAATGTATGCACATAGTCAAATTCATTAAATCATTTATTTTTATGAAGCTGAAGGCCACTTTCACATACTTTCTAAAGGTGGACTGCACATTTACAGATTCCTACATAGCTTCTCTTCAGGTAATCAACACTTTAATATTTTCATTCCAGTGTCTGCTCTCATGAAGAAGCACATTTAGAACACAATTTCCTATACCATGTTCACTAGCTGTAGATTTCTTAGGAGCCCAACAATAAAATATTTTTCAAAGAAGAAAGTAAAGGAAAAATAAACCCATTCTTACTCGAGTATATGCACATTAAACTAGTAATAATCTAGGAAAAATAAGTAGAAATAGTATTTTTGTTAAAAAATCTTATTATTCTGAGATATTCCTCTATCTTGAATACATGTGGGTACTTGCAATGACCCTCTTCACTTTGGCACATTTAAACCACCGCAAAAATTACACATCACTTGCTTCTTGTGGGACGTGTGCACATCTTCATGGAAAGATGGGTTGGAAATTGATTATATTAATACTTTAAAATAGATTTTCACTTTCAGTCTTTTATTACTCAACATATCTACTCCCAGAAAATGGTTGGGACTGAATCTTGACAGTGTTTGGAGCATAAGGAACACAAGACCTTGGAAAATAAATTGTTCATTAAAAAAAAATAGGCATTGCCTCTTGAAGTCTTTCTGAAATTCAAATATTTTCTTCCAGTGGTTGTGTGATTTGAATGGCTCAGTAGAATAATGTATGAGTCCTGAATCTACGCTTCTTGCTGAGATGTAAACTGCAATTGGGTTCCATTAGTCTACTATACAGTCTCCAGTTCCATGTTTATCCTTTTAATTTAGCTCAAGCTGGAGAAGGACCAGCATGTTCCAATGACTTCAGTGTGCTATTAGGCATTAAGATGGTATCTGAACTGAGTAGAGACTGGTGCTCTAAAATAAATATAACACTGTGTGTCAAATAAAACAGAAAAATAAAAATAGTCTCCTGTACAAATCAGAAGAGATAATTTTATAAAAATCAACAAATAGACAGCAATTTGTTTCTTATCATACCCACACAAGCATCTCCAAGCAATCCCAAACTTGAAGAATTATGTACCATTTTCTTCTCTTTGAAACACCTCGTATAATTTATTGGAATACAATGGTTTCTGTTGCCTTCCATCAAATCTCACTGGCTTTAATTGGAGGGTTTGCATCTGAGGAAGATAGTCCAAGAATTCATATGTTGATAAATAAAATATCTTTGCTAACCCACAGCAATAAAATTCTGCTGAATTCTATCATATAGTATAAGCTAAAAGCATCACTGTAAATTAAATTTGCCCCTAGTTTGGATATGTAAGAAGTTCAGGATTTCCAGTGGCACATCCTGTTCTGTTCTGCTCATGGACAGTACCATGAAGGCACGTTCTGGGCCTCCTCCCAGCCTGGAGGTCAGGTACCTTTGCAGGTAGATGAGAGTTGCTATCTATTCACCAACCACTGCAGAGTTCCTTTTACCTAAAAACAAAACCAAACAAAACTCTGCAAATGCCCAGTGGAGTCCCTTGGATAAGTCTAACGCAGAAAGTCCACACCAAGGCAGAAACCTAAATAGTTTACAAATGGAGAACTATGTACAACCAGTTCTCTCCAGCAAGTGGAGTTCTTGTTTTCAACACAGGATAGGTTTTCTTATATTTTGTTTTTCCTTTTTCTTTTGCTGCTACTTTCTTTTTTTTATTTTTTATTTTCCTTTCTTTTTCTTCAGTACATGTCAAAGCAAGGTCCCAAGGCTAAGAACACAAGCTCTCCTGGCCGGTTCCATACATGTCCGCGAGTCGTTTGAAGCGAGGCCCCCAGTCACTGAGATAGTCATAATTCTGGTCAGAGTTCGAACTGATGGAGTCCAGGGAGCTCAGGGACTCCGCCACGGAGCCATTCCCCTCGAAGGCGTAGGTCTGCAAGGAGTCGTAGGGCGGAGCGCCGGGGTCCACGTCGGCTTCTTTCAGTCTCTCCCAAATAAACTCCCTAAAAATGACATTATCTGGGATGCTCTTAAAAGTCGGCCGACTCAAAAACTGAATCTCGGGAGTGACATCCCTCCTGGTCTTTGTGTCTCGAATGGCGTTGAGGTTTCTCAGCGCGGCCATGTCGAACGCCTCGGTGTCTTCCTCGCCTCCGCCCTCGTCGTCGTAGCGCACGATGTTTTCCCTGATGTCTCTCTCTTCGTCGAAGATGAGGGGCTCCTTCTTCCTTCTTCTCATGGTGACGATGAGGAGGATCAGCACTGCAACAAGGAGACAGCAAAGGGACGCGGTCAGGAAAACTCGCAGCCTGGGAGGCAGAAAGGTGGAATGAGGCCCTAGATGTTGATACAGACAGGGGAAGTGAATCGGCCTTCTACTTACTGGAGAGTTCACAGCGGTAGGCGTGCTAAAATTGCATAAATAAAATAAAATAAATGCTTTAAAAATAGAACACTTTGATACATCAAGAAGCCCTTCTCTGCACCTATTCAAGACTGATGTCTTGCTTTACCCTTGAAATTGTTTGACAGAGCAAATTGAAAGGCCAGTTCAGTTTCAGTATAATCATTTCAAAGCCATGCCACACAAAGAGCTCTTTTTGAACTCCTTAATTGCTGGAAAGGAAAAAAAAAGAGAGAGATGTGTTCATAAATGTTTTGTGTCTAATTTAACAAGCGGCAGATTCTAAAGGAAAAGGATTACAGGCATTTGGTCCTGTTCTTTGAAGAAATGTCTGCTCCTTCTCTATGAACTTCAGCTGTTAAATAGAACCGAGATGTCGGGGCCATAGACAAAGATGAAAAGTTTGTCTGGAATAAATGGAATCCTACTTTTATGTATGAAAAATCTTGAACCCAGTCATTATGTATTACACTTAAAATCCAGGTGGTGGGACTGCTAGCAGCAGCTAAAGATGGATTTGAGAAATACATCACAAGGTTAGCATGAGGAAGCTCCTTCATATAGCAACTTTAACAGTGGATTATGAAGTTTGTGTGTGCATTGAACACCAAAAGAGAGCAACCTAGCTGGCTCTTCTTTGGTATTAAATAAACTTAGTATGCTATATTTTTAATTTAAAAATGCAGCATCAACATTCAGTAGCTCCTATGTTGAAAATGTACTATTCAACTTGGGAGTCGGGTGGGAGGGGAAGCTGGGAGACAGTGAAAAGAACACTCATTCACTGACCTATGCATATCGCCGTAATAATAACAAGACACATTTAAAATATACCGGTAAGGTAGACACTTTCTCTGGTGGTATGTGATTCTTGCATTGAGAGTATATTAAATTTTACCAGTCCCATGACTGAGCTAAAAAGATGTAGATTAAAAAAAAAACTATCCTTGAATTTTATGAATAAAAAAAAACACATAAAAGTCAGGAGTTATTTCAATTAACTGTGCAAGATAAAAATACGTTTAAATTTTTGTATCACATTCTTCTAAGTTCTTTTGTGAAAACCCAGAAAGGTCAAAGTACACAGTGCATAGATGATTGTTATGGACATGTTAGCACCAGCGTATCTTTAAAAGTTGCGTGGAGCTCAGGGTGCTTGCTTAGTAGGAATGAGCCTCTGAGTTTCATCCCCAGTCCACCAAACTCAACAGTGTCTGAATGATGCCGTGACACAGGCCTATGCTGCTTTGCCCCATTTGCTATATTTACATGTTCCCAAGCCTGATCATTTCTAAAGATCAGGCCAAAATCCTCCAATGGACGGCCATAAATGAAAACCCACTATCCCATATTATCTGGGGCAAGAAAGTTTAATGGATGCTATCTCTATAACATAATGGTGTACTTCCTTGTGCATAGGGTAGATTAAAGAGATGAACAGACTTGTAAAGAATATAAACAAAGGTAGCAGCATTTCAGATACTTATAAGTTTACAACACACCAGGACTCACTGGTATCATCTGGTCTGTTCAACCTCCACAGACTGTTTCATTTTAATTAAGGAAAACAAAGAAGATTAGATAATAAGGAAAGCAGGAGGTAAAACAATAATTTCTCAATGAAAGATAGTACTATTGCTAAGGGGGAAACGAAGATCTTTCTACAGCACATACCACTCGACCTATGATAATTCTCTAAGCTAGATGTTTACCCTGCAGGAAATGCTACCTGTAGACAATGTGATTAAATGCAATAACTACCGATGATTCAAACTCAACCTTGGCTTATTTCAAGACTTCTGAATATTCGATGATACTACCAACTCAGTACCTTCTAGAAAGTAATTAGGTAACAAGGACTACAAGACTGAGGGCACAGATAGCTGTAACTGCTCACTCAGTGGAAGACATGACAGAATAATAAGACTTATGGATAAAATCACATTTTACTTAATTATATGACAATGTTAGTTGTCATGACTTTAGATATATCACCTTCAGAAAAATTAATTATAACTAAAAGTGAAACATAGCACAAATTCTTTTTTTAAACAAGCACATAAGTTAAAGAGAGTTAAATGTGAGAGGGACTAGTGTTGGGCCACCAAGAGGAGACAGGGAAAAGGAGCAAGAGAGGGGAAGGAATATTCAGTGGAGAACAAAAGATGTTACAAATTCATGCTTTTGTATGCATGAGCATGAGGGAACTTATGAAGAGAATGTAAGTTGAATAATAACTAGGTGCTCTTTTTTGTTAACTAGGTGCTCTTTACATGGAAATCAATGTCTAAGTAAGCAAATATTTCAAAATTCTCTGTTCTTCTGTAGAATTTCAATTATGTATAACACTCATATGTACACACACAAATACACATATTTATACATATATATATATCAAGCTTCTAAAAGCCACAGTCATGACAGTTAATAAGAAATGTAATAGGATATATAAGGATATTAATATCTTATAGATATTCTTCACTTCTCATGTTGTTCAGAGCTAAGAAAACTTAATATTAGGAAATGTTAGATAATTTAATATTTAAATGAGATTATTTCTGTGTGTGCACATATAAAAATAAAGTTTAAAATTGAATATGTAGAACAGCTCTTAACTGCTCATTGGAGAGACCCTGGAGATAATTTCTTGTGTTAAGAAAAAAAAATTGTGCTGAAGCATCAAAGAGTTTAGAGTAGATTTCTTTAATTTATTTACTTTGTTTATAAGGTAATAAATTACTTTTACTTTTGTGTTGTTTTTGTTGGTCACGGGGCTTGAACTGTGGCCTGCATGCTGTCCCTCAGCTCTTCATCTCAAGGCTAGTGACTGACCACTTGAGCCACAGCACCACTTCCAGTTTTCTGGTGCTTTATTGAAGATAAGAGTTTCACACAGGCTGGGAGCGTGGCTCAGTGGTAGAGTGCTTGCCTTGCATGCATTAAGCCCTGGGTTCGATTCCTCAGCACCACATAAGCAGAAAACACTGGAAGGGACACTGTGGCTCAAGTGGTAGAGCGCTTGCCTTGAGCTGAAGAGCTGAGGGACAGCGCCCAGGTCCAGAGTTCAGGCGGCACAACAGGCAAAAGAAAAAAAGGAAGAAAGAAAAGAAAAGAAAAAGAAAAAGAAAGAATCTCACAAACTTTCCTGCTTGGGCTGGCTTTGAACTGCGATCCTCAGATCTTAGCTTCTTGAGTAGCTAGGATGACAGGCATGAGCCACTGGCACCCGGCTAACTTTTACTTTTATAAAGTACTTTATTACTTTACTAAGAAAGTGAAACTTCATTGGTTATGAAAGATGGAACATAGAAAAGAGAAAAGCCATGGACACATTACACACAGACAAAAAATCAGGGAGACAAAATGAGTAGGGACTAACTCAGGAACAGAGGTCAGAAGAAGGAACATTGCTTGGGATTTGGTATTTTTACCGATGTTTCTAATTTCAGCTATCAGACAGAACAAAGACTATACAAAGTTAAACCAGAAGAAGAAGAAGAAGAAGAAGAGAAGGAGGAGAAAGAGGAGGAGGAGGAGGAGGAGGAGAACTAGAGATTTATAAAGCACATAAAACATAATCATCTCCATGTCTTCAGACATAAGAATCAAATTACAAGTTTAAATAAATATTTCTTTCCTCAAAACAAGTATCATAAAAGATTCCCTCTTTTCAATTTGTGGCTTAGAATGATTCCATAGGAAGCCAGGTCTGGAGGTGGACTCCTGCAATCCTAGCACTCAAAAGGCAAATAATATAAGTATACAAGCAATTAAGTAAATAATAGAATTATTTTGTTTAAATCTGTATTAAGATTAAGAATTAGGACCAATGAATATTGCTTGAATAACGTTTGTAGGTTATATTCTGTTTTCAATTAAAATTTGTGCTCAAAGTTAACAAATATAATTTCTAGTGTGTTTTCACAAGGTCAGAATTAATTGGAGCATATTCTAAAGCAGACACCGAGAATTAACGAAATAAATGATAAAGTTGCTATGTGAAACAGATCAAAGACATAGTTGTCTCTAATGTGGCAGCAGACAGAGAACCTTTAGCATTTTCAGGACATAGGGGACCACCAAATTGGAAAACACAAATGGAAATACAGCAAGAATGTTCTCATGCAAGTCTTGCCTGTGTTTAGCTTTGACTCTGATAATCTTTCACAGAGAATTATGTGTACTTCCTTGAAAGTTTATATATATATATATATATATATATACATATATAAATAAATATATGTACTTTATTTATATATGTATCCTTGAAATTTTATATATATAAATATATTCATATTTTTTCACAGAAAAAGTACAGATAGCAGTGGTCGTCTAAGAAACTCTTTTAACACATTTATAATAAGCAATGTCCAGCTCATAGTATGCGATTATGAACTATGATTCATTTTCCATACATTTTGTTTCATGATTGTGTGGAAGAGGGCATCAGTTGTTCCATACATTAGCTAACTGCAGCCTGTCATTGTATCTATGTCTACTACATGTTCTACCAAGTGAATTTTTCTCATCATAGATCACAATTAGGACTGTTTGTTATGCTTTTGTTTTGTTTGTTTTTTTAATACAGAGCTGCCATTATTTTTTGAGCAAATTAGTATGATTTTTAATTTTTTATAGTATTGTAAGGGTGACGTACAGGGGGTTACAGTTATATTACCTTAATTGGGAATTAGTATATTTCTTTAGGGCATTGTTACCCCTTCCTCATTTTCTCGCCTTTTTTTCCCGCTACTCTTCCTCCCCCTGCCCCTCCTGCAAATTGTAAAGTTTATTTTCAACATAATGTCTTGTGAATATCACGATTGCATTGGTTCACTGTTTGTCTTTTGTCTCACTA